ATTCCCATTTATATTCATGTTGCCCCTGCCATGATACTAATACAACCCTTCAATCTCCAGGGAAGTTTCACTTGTTGAATTACTTCAGATTTAGTAGCAAGTTTCCATAGAGATATAAACTCAGTTCACATCTCCCAGTGGTTTTTGCTATTGAGTAATGAGAATAAAACTCAATTAATTATGCAGGGTGGTTTCTCAGTGTTAAATTTGTTCCTACTTGGTCCTCAATTTGAGGATCTAGGCAAAAGTTCACCTTCTCTTGTTAACTGATTTTCATCATGAATGTGATGAAAAGTACTTGATAAAAAGGGTAAAATACCTTGTCAAAAAAAACCCCCAAAAACAGTAGCATAAGCCAAGGCAGCACCAATTCATCTTATCTTACTTTTCGTGTACCTTTAAGCTTGCCTGTAGGGACTCTCTTTAGGAAATGAGTTCAGAATCTGTACCGATTGCATCTTGGCTTCTCTCTAATAGCATGCCAATATAAGATTTTAAAGGTAATAGATTTGTGATAGTACCTGCACACTCAAAATTAAATCCATTCAAACAATTTCTTTCAAAAAAGCTTCTGAATAAAGGACAAATGGCAAGAACTACTGATCTGTGCTGGAATGGTTTGATCTAGGAGTTGAAAGTCTTGACCTCCGTATTCGCAAACTGGGATGTTTATTTTAGAAGATGTGTTAAATTAGGTACCCACCCAGCTTGCTTGCTAAAATACTTGCTGTTTCTCAAGGAAAGGAAAAGAGAGGAAGAAGGCAGTGGAGAAAGAACAAGCAGCCCTTCTCCTATGCCTTTTTGTAAAACTTTTTTTACTATGATGTTTTACAGAGTGTATCATATAATGTAAATGTATTTGCATTCCCTTGAGTTCAACATCACACAAGAGTAAGGGCAATACCTACACTAGATTTACTTTGTGCTAGGCTTTCAGAAATAATTTTTGTCAGTAAGGCTGTTTCTATAGGATACCAAGAACACTAAGGTAGCTCTTATTTACTCTTAACCTCTGCCCATTTACAAACTCTGGTAATTAGAACGACATTGTAACACATGATTTTGCCTCCCCTGATGCCCTACTTACCCTCAAAGGAAAAATATAATCAAGAAATGTAATTATAATCAAGTTCTGAATAATTTCACACATATAAAGCAGGCTACACTACCACAAAAATACACATATGAGCTGTACAAACAGAAGTTTAAAAAATACCTTAGGCATGCTTCTACTGATGCACATACAGATGCATTTGAGAACCCTCCTCATGCTTCTTCAGTATTATGTATCTATACAGTGACTTCCTGAAATTATGACAAGCAGTGGTACTTAGAACTGACAAACTTTCCCCACTGAGCCTTTGACACACAACTGTCTTTCATTGTGGATCCTTTCAACAACTCAGATCTCATACGCTCGTACAGGGTTGCACTGTGGTGCCCCTTGCCCTTGGTACCCCCACATGCCAGACGAGGCTACAGAGCAGAGCTGTGAGGACCAAGGACACGAAACCTATGACACTATACTGCTGCCACGTGCGTGCTATCAAGTGGGGCTACACTCAAAGGAGCAGCATTAAAACACGTTTCCTTTATGTAGCCTCACAAAACAGTATCTACTCTGCGACATGATTCACTGCATCTGACCGTTCATCAGTCACACACCTGTGTGATGGGCATTGGGTGAGATAACAGTTACGTTATGCACAAGAAAAAAGGATACTTGAGAGATGTGTACACACTAATTAAGCCTGTAAACCCAGGCACAGACTGACCTACTAATGTATTATGCATTACACAAACATACTTTGTTAAACCATCCTGACAGAGTATCTATGAGGGATGCAGTTCTCCAACATATCATAATAATTTTCTTTTTAATATTCATCTTCTGTTTCACAGTATGACATCATGAACAGGCGTACTGGCACAACTGGAGGGTATGTGAATTGCGGCAAGGCAACAAGAATAAGAAGCTGAAGGCAGAAAGCTCTTAAACTGAGTATACAAGTCAAGGAAGTACAACACGTAGCTACCTGAACTCTCTGGACTAAAAAATGTCCCATTTTAGTGTTCTAAACTGCTATATACCTACGTGAGTTCATGAACAAAACAAAAGAAATAAAAGAAAATCCTTTTGTTGCGCATAGTTTCATTACTTTCCAGTAATGTTAATTGTCCAAAATTCATTAGAGAAGAAACCATCTTTTTAAAATTCCTTTCGATGGTTCCATACACATACAGAACAAAATGTAAAGCTACAAGAGCATCTTTTATAAAAACATCAAAAATCCTTCTTCCATCCAAGAAAAACCTACCAAAGTCCACCTATTTTTCAGGTAATGGTTAATATAACCAGATTTGCCATTCTTTAGGACTTCAGGGAATAAAAATCTAACACATAACACATTCTAATCTCTAAATAAAGATCTGATTTCCTATACAGTGAAAATTTTATTCTTGGACACCAAAAAATATGGAAAGCTCTGTGAAATATTTACTTGCACTTTCCATCCTTTGTAATTACATTGACATAAATTTATCTGAAGTAGTTAGCAACTCTGAAAAGGCTGTAAGTGATAACTCCTTAGAAAATGAACTATGTACCAATTCAAAAAGTCAGGCAGAAAAACACAGCACTGACTTTTCTGAAAATTCTCATGCACCCCAAATTATTTAAGATACACTTGCTTAGTATAATTTGCATAGACCTAAAACAAGGCACAAAGCACCTTGCATGAAATCACCCAGCTTCAGTGTCCTGTTCTGTTGACAGACAAGAACAGGCTATTCACTGTGTGCCAGGAAGCCCCAAACCTATGTAGATGGTGTGACATGATCCACATAGAGTGACCTGTAGTATTTTATTGGCACTGATGAAGACAAAGGAAAAAAGGCATCAAATTTAGGAATTAGACTAGATCTTCCGTATGCTTCCTCTATAGGGTGATGGTGGAGACGGCAAAGCAAAGGGGAGCATTTCGCAGGTATGTTACTTTTTGCAGTAGTAATGCATCTATTTGCCCACTGGGTCAAAAAAGATAGCTTTGCATTCCCAAAAAAGTTTTTGTGAGCATGGAGCTTGGAAGTAAATCTCACTTAGCCACCATTAAAAGCTGTATGTTAACTGACTTTCAGCATATGTGCAATAAGGAAATAAACTCTCTTATATCATCAAATCCTTGAAGAGCCCATATAAGAACTAGACTCAGCAACAGGCCTACATTGAGGTGCACTACATAACTACCTAAGAAGTTGCAGAGAAAAGGGCAAAGTGAACTCACTTAGGCAAAAACACTCTAGTAGCTCTCCTCTCTGAACAATGAGAACACACACAACCCCAATCCAACAAAGCATGAACCCTTGTTGCAATAAAGCCCTAGAAGGTCATACTAGGGAACAAACAGGGAATTAATATTTGAAATCCATCCTTCAATCTGCCATACTAAGTCCTGTTTGGTAACTAAGATGTGACAGCTAACAAGACTAGAAAGCATTATAATAGGAATAAGGTAATGCACCTGGCTTCCTTCCAGACCATTCTGCCTTCTCTTCAGGCCAGCCCAATTTATTCATTTTCAGTCCAAAAGAAAATAACCTTATAAGTATCAAACTTGATCTCAAATAATGAGCCCTGCTAGGAGGTGAAGCATATCATTCTGCACAGAGCTGCACCAACACAGATCAAAGGTGGTTTGATTGAGCCTGTTTGGAGAACAAAGGAGCTGCAGCCTACCGAGACACCAAGCCGTCCCACCAACACCAAAACAACAAGCTGTCCTGCTGACATTGAGACACTGAGCTGTCCCACAAAACCTGAGACACTGAGCCATCATTAACCACCTTCTGCTTTAGGAAGGGCCTGGGCTGGGAAGCGTCTTTGGGCAAGGACAGTTTTGAACTGCTGAAGTCAGTTGTTTCTTGGAGCTTTGGCATTAACTACAACTTTTATGACCAGGGTTAAGAGCTACTCTCTTCGGAAAGCCTGACACAGAAGTTGTTAATTCTCCTGTCTTCAGAAGCTTTCAAAGAAGATTTCCAGCAAACCACAATCCAAACACAAGCTGAAATGGCCATAAACATATAAGAAAAGCTTACTTTATCGCTTAACTATACCCTGGTCTGAGATAAAGCACAGTAACCTCATCTTATTTTTTAAACAGACTGGCTATTGTTTTCTTGCTTGACTGGCGCTAAAGGAAAATATGTTTCACTGTGTGGCCTTAAGACAGATCCTATTAAGCACAGGTAAATATTTATTGTTTTCATCTACATGTTACAGACAAAATGCCAGATCTTAAGGCACAGCAATAAGGGTGGAAAGGTCTGAAATTCTGGCTCCTTTTGTATCTTGCAATGTGAAAAGATATCTTTTCATACACTACCCTCTGGCATCATCAAACACACACAAGGACATTTTCACACCATTGTACTAATTGTGGGCCACATGTCACATAAAGATATATCCTGCAATAATTTCCAGTGTGAGAATTTTGAATGTGCACACACAAAAACCCAATTTCAGTCAAGATTTTCCTCTAAATAACTCAGGTTTGTGACACAGAGTTCTATTTATCCCCAGAGCCATTTTTGAAGTGCAAAAGAAAGGAGGAAAACAGGTTAATTTCCAAGAATTTAAGGAAAGCTTCTTTATGGGGAAGAAATGTGAAAAAAAATCGTAGGAGCAATACTTTTTACATAATTTCTTTAACATTAACACGTTTACCCAGATTTTTAACTAGCAAGGAAGACTAAGAAGGCAAACACCTTATAATATCTGAGACAGTTTATTTAGCTCCTGTTGTGTAAACTACCAGAACTGGCACTGTCAGTGTATCTCCCAAGGAGCTAGCAACAGGCTGGCTTGAAATGGGGATGCCAGGCCGAGTTCCTTAAATCTCAGAAATGTCTCACTTGCTTAAAGCTCCACTCTCTGACTTTTTATTTGGGGTTTTTCACATGGGTTGGGTCACAGGTCTTAAGAGTCCTGGATGACTCACCTCTTCTAGTTGGCAGGCTTTGATGACACTCCTGTATCGGTATTCATCATAAGATACACCAAAAATTATGTTTTCTTTTATTGTTCCAGGCATGATCCAGGAGACTTGAGGTGAAAAGGATATCCTTCCACTGTGTTTAACTTTACCCTGCGAAGGTTCCAATTCTCCCATTATCAACATCAGAAGAGAAGTCTGAAAAATCATTAACACTTGGTTAATATATCAGAGATCTGTGCAACCATAAGAAATGCTAAACAAAGTGAGAGTCACTCTGCTAAGTCACTTAAATGGCACATTTGTCTTATAAAGAATGTCCCTCTAAGTGCTGATCTAGTGTAAGCTGCAATTAGTGGGTAAGATGTGTATGGTTCTGAAAGGCCTCTGAAATGAGAGGAAATTCATTCAATAAAAATTGTGCAAGTTATCTTGTAAGGAATGCATGCTGCTGCAAAAGTATATATTTTAAATTAAACTTCCAGTAATTTTACAAGGTAAAAATGTGAGTATCTGTAAGGCACACACAGACATAAGGTATTAGTATTTATGGAGAATGTTATTTGATTTTTAACATTATCAGTGACTATTCTGTGTGTTCTTTGTACAACACAATTCATGTTTACAATTTTGCTACTGTTCATAAGCCTTTTAACTGTACTGCCCTGAAAAATGCAATTTCTTTGTGTATGTGTATACAATTACTCACAACCATTCAGTGCGGTCTCAATTTTCCTCTACAACTGTTAACTCATTTACGTGAATACATGACCTAAGTATATTTACTATTTCTCTTCATAAAAGAATTGATTGCAATTTCAGTACTGACATGTTATAATTTCGAAGTTAATCAGTAGCTTGTAGTAACCTTGTCACACATCACTGGCAACTAGATCAAAGAATAGAATTGAGAAATACAAGGAAAAATATGTTACAGATCCATTCCAGTGGTGTTCTCATCACTCATAAACAGTCAGCAAAGCTGGGACGTAACAGCCAAATACCTAAAAATCTGTCTAAATCACAGTTTCATGCTGTCAAGCCCAGAGATCCTTTGACAAGTTGTACAGTATGCGGGGGGAGTCTCATGAGATTCTTTCCATTATACCAGAATCTGACTTTTCCAAAATGCTGAGTAAGAAGTTTCTGATCTTGCAAAGGACAGCCACTTAGTATGTTTTGCACACTGGATGTTAAACTACTATATCTTGTGCCATATAACACAAATGAAAAAAAAAAAAAAAGAAACCAAAACAAACCAACCAACCAAACAAAACCAACCAAACCCAACTCTATCTAATATTGAAGCAGTGTTAAAAAACTGATGTCAGGCTTCGTACCTGTTATAGATAACTTAAGTGTGGAGTCTGTTTCACAGGCTTGACAATTCCTGGAATATACAGTAACAGTTTCAAGCAACACGAAGGAGACTTAAATTTAGAGGGTGTAAGGGAAGAAGAAATTTTTTTTCTGGGGGGGTGGTGGTGAACTTTATTTTTTGCAAATTTATAATTTATAGGTGTATTATAAGCCTTTTATTGCCTTGAAAAGTGCTCAGTGTAACGTGAATTTGTGTAACGTGAATTTTCCTCAACTTCCTAAGTAGCTGAATAAAAGAGATATACATACGTCCATCAGCACTTTCCAGTTGACATTTTTGAATTACAAGTTTCAGCTTTATCAATAGCCATCTGCGATTATCAGCAACATAGGAAAACTATTCTGTTAATTCAGAAGTATCACAGTAAAATGCACCTCAACATATCAGCTTGAGGACAACCTCATGTCCTGAGTTCCTCATTCTGTCCTATTGGTATCATTACTGAAAAATCATAGAATCATAGAATAGTTTGTGTTGGAAGGGACCTCAAAGATCACCTAGTTCCAAGCCCCCTGCCATGGCAGAGACACTTCCTACTAGACCAGGTTGCTCAAGGCTCCATCCAACCTGGCCTTGAGCACTTCCAGGGATGGAGCATCCACAACTACCTTAGGCAATCTGTTCCAGTGTCTCACCACCCTCAGGGTGAAGAACTTCTTCCTTGTATCTAGTCTAAACCTGCCCTCTCCCTGCTTCCAACTATTTCCCCTCATCCTCTCACTACATGCCCTTGTAAAAAGTCCCTTTCCAACCTTCTTGTAGGCCCCTTTCAGGTACTTGAAGGCCACTATAAGGTGTCCCTGGAGCCTTCTCTTGTCCAGGCTGAACAAGCCCAACTCTCTCAGCCTGTCCTCACAGGAAAGGTGTTCCAATCCTCTGACCATCTTGGTAGCCCTCTTCTGGACACACTTCAGCAGCTCCATGTCTTTCTTGTGTTGAGGG